GTTTAGGGCTGTTGTACATAGGGTCGCTATGAGTCACAAACGACTCAACGGCACATAACAACAACAACAAAAAAAATACTCAAAGTATATCATATGAAGTTTCACTAACCTTGCCTCCAAAGAGCATCCTTTGTTGTTGTTGTGATGTGTCATTGAGTCACTCACCACTCAGAGACCCTGTGTACCGTAGCCCTGAAACTTGCTCTAACCTGTGCCAACCTTATTGTTCCTGACTCCCCTACTCTTATTACCCCAACCACAGAATCAAATCAATCTCAACAAGGGTCTTCCTCTCTTGTACTGTTCCTCCACCCTTCAAAGCATGATGTCCCTCCCTGCAACATGCCCAACTTATGTCAGATGAAACCTCAGAATCCTTACGTCCAAGGAGCAGACTGGCTGCCCTTTTTCCAAGATCTATTTGTTTATCCTTTTTGCAATCCAAGGGCTATTCAGTACATTTCTCCAATACCACAAGTCAGTTATTGATTCTTCTTCTGTCATCATTCATTGTCGAACTTTCAGAGAGATGCTTGGCAAGTGATTTAAAGGACCATGGCTTATATTTTAACTTAGAAATTGAACTGCAACCTGAAATCTTGGCTCACTTAGCAGTTTGACTGCTAAGTGCCGTGCTGCCAGAGTCACAGTCATCATTAGAAATATTTTCATAGAATGTAGATCACTTGGTGTAGAGAAATTCAAAAAGGAACCTAGTGATGACTACAATATGTGGAGGTACCCCATAATAATTGATGCCTTTTATCTGTGGTGCTGGGGAAGAGTATTGAATATACCATGGGCTGCTAAGAGAACAAATTGGTTTGTCCGGGAGAGGGTTAAACCGGGCTGCTCCTTGGAGGCAAGGAATTTGAAGCTTTGTCTGACATATTTTGGGCATGTTACAAGGAGGGACTAGTCCTTGGAGAAGGGCATCATGCTTAGGAGATGTTAGGAACTGTTGCGGAGGAAGGGAGGGCCTCCGGCCAGGACAAATCACCTGGCTTCTAATAAGTGTAAGTATCCCAACGGCCTTTAATATGGGGTAGAGAAAGCTCTCCTGTGCTTGGCTGTACTGGCTTGAGAAAGCTCGCCACCTGGGAAGATGGCTGCCTCATCTGTTGAGCTGGGAGTAGTCTGCACGAGGCTGAGGTTCTCCTATCCAATCCACATGTCCCATGTCTGCAAGCCCACCCAATCCTGTCTTCCTGTTTACTTGCTTGTATATAAGTGCTCTGCAGTCCCCAGTAAAGTTGAGCTGGATTGACTCTGTGAAGGGCTCCCGGAGTGGTGTGTCTCCATAGTGCTTACTCCCATCAGGGAGTTGCTGTTTGGTGCTGGCAAATGGACAGTGACAAAGAGAGTTGAGGTACAGTGCAAGAGAGAAAGTCTCTCGATGAGATGGGTTGATTTAGTGACTGGGGTATTGGGGTTAGGTGTGTCAGAGATTCTGAGATTGTTACAGGACAGAGCAGAGTTTAGGGCTGTTGTACATAAGGCTGCAGATGACTTAACAGCACATAACAACGTCAACAACAACCCTGTAATAAACCTACATACTAACAGCAAAAAAAAAAAAAATAAATGTATGTTTCCACAGCATGAAAATGATATATGTCCACCAGCTTGGAAGGAACGAAAACGCTCTATAACCAAAAATCCCAAAATAGGAGGTTTACCTTTAATTCCCATTCATCATGAAAGAAATACAACACTAGCTCAGAAAAATATTGAGGTAAGTTAAGAATGTATTTGTTGTATAATTGCAGAAATAGATTGAAATTGTAGCATTTGTTTCTCTATTGTATCAGTGTGATTGAGTCCATGTGTATCGATATGATTTAGTGCAGAAATTACCTCATTGGCTTGCAGAAGCACAATAATAATTTTGAAGCACACAGGAATAATCACCTACATCATGGAACATTAGGAATAATTTGATGCAGGTCTTTGAATTTTTGTGTTACCTTTTTTAAAATCTAAATGTTTCATTTTATTCTAATGTAATATAATAAGGCTCCCAGTTTAAAATATATCTATATATATGAAAAGTACTATTTATGTTTTTGTATATTAAGTACCAAAGATTTTTTAAATATGTAAACAGAAATTCTGGTTAGTAAAATCTCGGCCTTCTATTCCTCTTTCATGTACACGTGTAACACCCTTAGAGTGAGCTTGTGGCAGAATTTGTCTGGAGCCATGGCAACTAGAGTTGCTAGTAACACAATCAAATTCCTGAAGTTGGGTAAATGATGGGGTGTCTCAGTTAATTCAAGGATCTGCAAGATACCTCTGACAATCAATAAAGAAGACTTGGCATCTTTCATGAAGGCTGGCGTTTGTTTTTCTTTCTCCTCAAGGGGCGGGCAGAGCACAAGTAGCATCAATCTTCCCACAAAGCTCAGCCTCCTCAGGGAAGGATGTAGGCTAACTCTCAAAACTCATTAGACACTTTGGGATTAATGCATGCCTCAGTGCCTTAATTGAGACCCTCGATGTAAAAAGAAAAGTATCTTAAAGGTGTTATATATTTTCTTCAAGTTAAGTTTGAAGTTAGGCTCTTTGAATCTTATTCTCCAAAAAGAACTATGAAAGCCTTTTGAAAGAGGAAAATTTTTTTATTATTATTTTTTAAATCTGGGCTTCATTGTTTTAATTTTTTTTTCAAATGAGTATTTGTCTTACTGAAGTTTTCTTCTTCTCTAAAAGTAAAAATGTTGTCAAAATGATGATTTATTTTTATTTTCACCTACCTGATCTTTCTATATTGGTAAAAATCAAAGGGAAAAACAGGATTCAAAGGAAGTATGACTTTGTCATGACCCTAAACTCTTATCTAGTACTATGGGGTCCTTCTCTATTCAAGAACCTTAAAATTCTGTGAATTGCTGTAAAATGAGCAAGGGACACATGAAGAGAGCCGTATCTGATTGTTAGCAACTGTACCCATTCACAATATCAGTAACACAAAATCAATTCCCATGAGATCAGACATGTCTCTCATGCTCCCATGCCCCTTTCTATTCATTTTAACACCAGTCTTATTGTCTACTAGGTCCAACATCTGATGACATAACTCACAGATCTCACAGAACCATATTAGGAAAATCAAAAGGTTATAATCCAAATTACTAGCAGAATACAACTCCCAATACATGCATACAGGCACCTCAGCCTCGAGCCTCATGGCTCTACATGTTACCAAGTCTTCATTCCTGTCAATATTGACTTTCCATCCAGTTGTCCAACAAAGTTCTTAGTCCTGACAATATCGGCTTCTCCCTCAAAGTCCCATTTAATGTCATTTCTCCAGTTTGGCTATAGTTGCTGTTGCCATCCCTTAGCTTGTCCTACATTTTCCTGCCTCCTGTTCACTGGACTAGGGAAGGACTCTTTCCTCCTCTCTGACAAGGGGAGCATTCTGATCTCTGTGGCTAAAGCTATTCAGTTTTTTAAAAAGACTAGCCAATCATCTTGTAGATTTTGGAGACTTGACAATCTCCTTGTGGATAAATCAACACACCCCATGCCCAAGTTCCACTCATCCATGTGAATCAGTTATCCACATTCAAATAATGCTAGAAAAGCCATGTTGAAAGGCAAACTCCAAATTCTCTTTTTCCCAGAGACTAAAGTACTGGGACATAGTTTGAACAATGAAGCCATCATAGGTTATAAATATATCCTACAGTGAGCCTGGGTTCTTTTGATACCACTTAGGCTTCTTGTTCTTGGTCTGTACCATTGAGTTGGAATTGACTCATAGCTGACCTTCTAGTGAGTTTTCAGAGGCAGCTAATTGCATGGGAAGAGATTGCCCATCTTTCTTCCAGAGAGCACCTGGTGGATTTGAACTGCATACCTTTTGGTTAGCAGTCTTCTTTCTTACTACTAGGCCACCAGAGCTCCCTTAAAAAATAAATAAATAAATAAAATGCAAGATATACATAATTATGTAGCTAATGTTAAATGGATCTTAGCTGAAAGCAGGGAATACCAGAGGAATGTATATCTGTGTTTCATTGACTATACAAAGGTGTTTGACTGTGTGGATCATAACAAACTGTGGCTGACTCTGAGAAGAATGGGAATCCCAGAACACTTGATCGTGCTAATGAGAAACCTATACTTGGACCAAGAGGCAGTGGTCAGAACAGAGCAAGGAAACATTGCATGGTTCAAAATTGGGAAGGGTGTATACGCCAGGGATGTGTCCTGTCTCCATACCTTTTCAGCCTGTACGCAGAACAGATTATCCGGGAGGCTGGGCTCTATGAGGAGAAATGCGGCATCAGGATTGGCAGAAGATTTATTAACAATCTGCGTTATGCAGATGATACAACCCTGCTTGCTGAAACTGGGGAGGACCTGAAATGCTTGCTGCAGAGGGTCAAGGACTGCAGCCTCCAATATGGACTGAGGCTCAATGTCAAGAAGACAAAGATTCTCACCACAGGGCCAATTAGCAGCATCAGGATGGATGGTGAAGAGATTGAGATTGTTCACAGCTTTAGTTTGCTTGACTCCACAGTCAACACTCTTGCACTGTGGCCAGGAAATTGCCATGGGAAAGTCTGCTGTTAAGGACCTCTCCAAAGTACTGAAGAGCAATGGTGTCTCTCTGGAGACTGAGGTGCATCTGATACAGGCCATGGTCTTTGCTATCACTTGTTATGCATCAGAGAGTTGGACAGTGACAAAGGAGGATAGAAGGAGAATTGATGCCTTTAAGCTGTGGTGCTGGAGAAAAGTATTGCGGGTACCATAGATGGCTAGGAAAACAGATTCATCCTGGAAAGGATTAAACTGGGTGGCTCCTTGGAGGCAAGGATTCTGAGGCTCCATCTAACATACTTTGGACATGTTGTAAGGAGAGACCGGTCCTTGGAGAGGGACATCATGCTTGGGAGGGTGGAGGGACAGCGCAGGAGGGGAAGGCCCTCTATGAGCTGGATTGATTCAGTGACGGGTAATCGGGATAGGTGTATCAGAGATGGTGCGATTGGCACAGGACAGAGCAGAGTTTAGGGCTGTTTTACATAGGGTTGCTATAAGTCACAAGTGACTCGACAGCACATAACAACAACAACATTTGGTTCATGAAAATATTCAAATCAAATTCATTTACAGAATAACCTCTTCTGAGCTCCTGATTTTAAAGTAGAAAAAGAAATATTCCTGGAACAGCATGTTCATAAGGAAAAAATATGATTATTAGTATATATTAATGAATAATTATCATCACTTTTTCTGTGGATTGGTAAATTTGACTATCTGATCTTGTATTGACTTCTTCGTTCTGCGACCCATCTTACTTCTGCAAAGTTTAGTGGAAAGTCTTATAAGGATAGCTCATCTAGGTAAGGAAAGCTTCCCAAAGAAACTGATTTCTAAAACAAGTAGCTTAAATTTGTAGTGAACGGGTTGCGTAAGCCAGAGCAATTAAGTTGTCAGCGAAGGAAATGACACATGAAGCAGCAAGCTCAGTACTTTAGAATGCACAAAGTAAAGTAATGCCTGTGGCTCTCCTACCTATTTCCTCTACAACCTTGGCTACATGACTTAACTTTAGGTTCTAGGCTTCCTTATCTGCCATTGTGTCAGAATCAGCTCATTATTGACCCTCCGTTGTGTTTTCAGAAGCTTTACAAATCACACAGAAAGAGATTACCCATCTTTCTTCCAAGAAGGCTCTGGTAATTCAAACTGCCAGAAAGATTTCATCTTTTGATTAGCAATTCATTACTCTGTGAATTACACCAACAGAGCTCCCTGTGTGCAACAAAGGATCATAAAATAATCTACTCAAAGGGTCATCATGATGATTCGATTATATCGTATGTGTGGGTTTTTACAAAAATGACTGACACATGATTAGAATTTATTAAGATCAGAATAACTTGAAAATAGTAGTTTTCAAAATTCACTGTTCCTTTTAGTAACTCCTAAGGAAGTTTTTTTAGTTAAACAAGTGAAAATTGTGAACATAGTACAATGGTGTGATTGGGGCAAACAGTGAAGACATTCAGTTCTTTACAAGAGACTCTGCTCTCCTTCCAGCCACCAGAAGCCCATTTTGATGTTCAAAGCAGGACATTGGTTTCAGATACATCTGGCTTCCTATTCAGAACTTTCCCGCTAATATAACTTTTGATAAATTATATCTTGAGTGTCTGTTTCTCAATGTTTAAGTCTATGTAATTTATACTGTGGCAGTTTAAAACTATTTAGGTGAGGATGACATTAAATGATGTGATTTTATTAGTATAGTGTAGAGGTTATCAACTAATATAGTGAATTTGATAAAAATCCTTTAAGAGAGCTTCTTTTATATTTTAGAAAAGGGAGCTTCTTTTATAATAATACATGCTGGTCACATTTATTTTGACTCAGATCTCTGGATGTAATGGAAAAATATACGAGGCACAAACTAAAGCCATGTCATTTCTCATTTCTGATAACTGAAAAACCATTGTACCTTGCTCATATAATTGGACTAACATTGAATTTTATATTTTCCTTACTAATTCAGCATTACATGTCTTTAATACATGACCCCTATTTCTGCATTTCTGAGAACTCAAAAGGCTTTCTTCTGATAGTTAAGAAGTATTAAGAACTGTCTATCATCATAGAGATATCTGGTGGCAAAGACCTTAGTGAGTTTCACTGTTACCATAAGGCTACATATTTCCAGGGTCTTTATGAGTTGTCTGTGACTTAACAGCACTAAACAACAATGGCAACAACATCATAGAGAGAGCCTAGTGGACAGAAAGTTATGCTACCAAGCCCAGGGTGGGTGAATTTAATCTGTGGCATTCATGCCTGGTTTAAATTGTTTTTGTCAAACGTTCTTCTAAGTGGTATAGCACTGGTCTATTTGCTGTACAGAGGTAACTCGTGGTTGCTATGATGCTGAACACTGTGACACTGATGTGCCAGATGCAATAATTGTTACCCATGGTGGACAACCAAAGTTATACAAAAGTTCAGGTCTTTCATTCATAGGGCCACTATGAGTCATCTGTGACTCAACAGCACTTAGCAACAACTTAACAAAAACATGTTTCCAGCAGTTCAAATCCACCAGCCGCTCCACTAGGGGGAAATAAAAATAGTCTCTTCCATTTGCCTCTTATAACCTGAGAAACAATGTGGAGGGTTACTTTGAGTTGGAAGAAATTCATCGGCAATGAGTTTGTCATTTGGGGTGTGGTGGGGTTTTTGTTTTCTTGGGTTTTTTGTTGTTGTTTTTTGTTTATTTTAGTCTACTATCATATAGAATCATACTGTAGTTAATCTTTTCCTGGGAAACAGACATCTAGTAAAACTTACCTGCCAGAATCTAGTAAAACTTACCTGCCAGAATAATATTTCTTTTATAAATTCCTGGATATAAATCTATACTTATTGACTGCGATTAACATTAATCTTTCTCCAATATTATTTGAACATTTCCTTTTAATAAAACTATAGACTAAGTTACATACCAAATATTTCATCCTAAAGGTTTTAAAGAAAGGAAGAAAACTGGATTCTCCTTACAGTGGGTAACCATAATTGTGTCATAAATTTCCAAGTTGAAGTTATTGATAAAGTATCTTTATGAAAGTATTCTCATCCAGCTTGAATGTTTCTGATGTATTTTTGCTTCAATCTGCTGAAATTTAGGAAAACACAATAGAGCTTTATACATTACAAAATAGTTTTGTTTTCTTCATTCATCCAAAGTATTAACTGTTGCCTGCATACACTAGAGTACATTGCATGTACTAGAGTTACTCATCCGTGAACAAGTCAGACAAGCAGCAACAACAGCAGAAAATCCTAGTGCAGGGTGTGACTCCTCTAGTAGGAACATTTGGACAGTCACAAGCATCAGTAACAGGTCCTTTAGAAAGTAGTAATTGCTGTGAAAGAAAGTTGAGTAGGAAATATGTTATTCCTTTTAAACAGTACCTTAAAATACTTACTGTACTGTTTATGGCACATTATTTCATGTTGCTGTTGTTGTTGATTGCCTTCATATCAAGCATGACTCACAGTGACTCTATGAACAAAAGGCCAAAAGCACCTCTACATTGACATTTAGCAAATTTCATAGAATTTCAAGAGGCATGTTATTTAGGAAGTGGATGCCACTCTTGCTTCCAAGCCTGTCATAGTATGTTATTGTTGTTATATGCCCGTGAGTCACCTGCAATGTTTATCGACCTTATATTCAGCAGCTCTGAACCCCTCCCTGTCCTGAGCCAATCTCACTGATTCTGACACACCAACCCCCATTGCCCCAGTTATTGTATCACTCCATCTCATGGAGTCTCTCTCTCTTGCGCTGTCCACTCACCCTTCCAAGCATGATGTCCTTCTCCAAGGACTGATCACTGCTGGCCACGTGCCCAAAGTAAGTGAGGCAAAGCTTCGAAATCTTAACCTCCAAGGAGAGACTTGGTATCACCCTCTCTAAGACAGACCTATTTGTTTTCTTGGCAGTCCATGGTATGTTCAGAACTCTTGTCCAGCACCACAACTCGAAGGCATCTGTTCTTCTTTTGTCATCCTTAGTCATTGTCCAATTCTCTGAAGCATAACAAGTAATTGAGAAAACCATGGCCTGGATTAGGCACACCTTTGTATCTAGATTGACTTCATTGCTCTTCAGCACTCTGGAGGGGTCGATGACAGCAGATTTTCCCAGTGTAATTTGTCTTTTAATTTCCTGACTGCTGGTGTTAAGAGTGGTGATTGTGGATCCGAGCAGACTGTAATTGCTTATAATCTCAATCTCTTCAACATCTATTATGATGTTGCTCGTTGGCCCAGAGGTGAGAATCTTTGTCTTCTTCATGTTGAGCTTCATCCATATTGAGTCATCCTACAGTCCTTGATCTTTTGCAGCAAGTTCCTCTTCAGTTTCAGCAAGCAAAATTGTGTCACCTACATAATGCAGATTTTGAGTAAGTCTTCCTCCAATCCTGATGCCACACTCCTCTTCATAAAGCCCTGCCTCCCTAATAATCTGTTCTGCATTCAGATTGAAAAGGTATGGGGACAGGATTCATCCCTGACACATTTCTTTCCTAATTTTGAATATCATTTTCATTTCATCTTTCCACTTTCAAACCTGCATAACTTTATGAAAATTATCCTGGAGACTTCTAGTTGGCTATTTTGCACTTTTCACTGAAGAAATGTTGAAGAAAACTATCCTGTTTGTGAAAGTAAAAATAAGTTTTCCCATCCACAACCCCACAGTTTACTAGTTTTTCTCTGGGGTTTCATTCTCCTCGTGAGCTTAATTTTCTGTTCTTTCTTATCTCTTGCACTTCATCAGGATGCACTTCCCACTAAGAGTTGAAGAAAAATGCCATATGCCTTTACCAGCAAATTGATCACAAGATACTGAAACATTACAGGGTCACCTCTGTGCCATTGCAGATGTTACAAAGTAGTCCCAGTATTGTTGGTCCTTTGTAGGTCTCTGAGTGAATATGTACAAAAGATGATTTTTCATGCATAAATAAACCAAACTCTAAATAAGCACTGTGGAGTTTTTGGGGAAAAAAAATTCTCTGCAAGTATAGGCATTATGTCAGGGCAAAGTTACATTTGTCAGATAGTCTTACTAGGAGAAGGCTTAAAAAATCAAGACAAAGAAATGAAACCAATTATTGTCATAACCGTCAGTATCCTTTTATATGGTGTTATTGTTGTTATTATATATCGTAGAGTCGTAATTGACTCATAGCTGATCCGCCCTCAGCTTTGCAGAGGCTATATAAATAAGCAGAAGTGGCATCCACTTTCTAAACAACATACCTCTGGAAACTCTATGGACTTTGATAAATGTTGATAGTTATAGAAAAACTTCAGGCCTTTTGTTCATAGGGTCACTATGAGTCATGCTGGACTCAAAGGCAATCAACAACAACATAAATTACCCAGGAGATTTCTCATCTTTCTCCTATGGAGCGACTGGTAGATTTGAACTACATGCATTCAGGTGGACAGAGCAACTTCTTACCACTTGACCACCAGACTTCCCTCTTTCATGTGTTAGTACCCAGAAAAAAAAGAAAGAACCGCATTGCCATTAAGTGGGAGCTGACTCATAGTGTCCAAGGCTGTAGACTGCATGAGAGAAGTTTGCCCATCTTTCTTCTGGTAAATTGTTGGTGGATTCAAATCACCAGAGAGGTGCCACCTTCAGGGTAGCAGCACAACTCCCCGTGGACCTCACACTGAAGCCCCTAAAATGCTAATACAGTGAATCATAGAGGTGGGGGACAAGGTCATGAGCAAGCTTTTACTCACGTTGGATACCAACTTTTCCCTTGGTTCTGCCACACACCACTATAGGAATTACGAGTGCATCCCGGCAGACGTGAGTTGTGAGAGACAAATTTGAAAGGATTGTGTCTATCTAGCATAAAAGACTGCTTTAAATCAGCATGTTAAGTACATATTAAAATGAACTCCTCTGGTTTAAGTTTTATTTTACATGATAGCTCTAAGACCAACATACACTTCTAGCATGACCCTTGTGTCAAAGAGAATTGAGAACTCAAATCATCGAGATAATTTCTGATATAGGAAACATCTTCCACTTAGATGCTGGTTATATTTTTTAACCTTAATCTTGCTTCCTTGTGAGACTATTTTATTTTCTTTTTTTTTAGAGTGCCAGAGCAGAACTTGAAAGGCTGAGGCTCACTGCAAAGCAAGATAAAGAAGAGTCTGTGGACTGCAGATTAAAGGAGAGAGCCACCATGGTAGCCCAGTGCCTGGAGCACAGGGAAGATAAACTTCGAAACCGAACCAAGAAATACCGGAGTTTTAACTGCTTGGAGGACACCGGAGCTGAGTTCTCAGCGCAAGAAAAATTCTCTAAAGGCTTAAAGACATTGAAAAAGACTGAAAATAGTAAGGCTACTTTGGACTCTGATAACAAATTACCATCCAAAGTCATTGAGGAACTTAATGTGGTCCTATTGCGGACAAGAACACTTCCAAAAGAGTTTCTAGATGAGCCGGTTTCGCAGAAAGAAACAAAGTGACTTTTCACAAAGCCTGGTTTTGTTTTTAAATATTGTCTCCACAGTGTGTTTGCTCAAACCAGAAGCTGAACCATACTGTGATTCTTGGTCTGTGAGATTTATCTAGCTGTACTTAAACATTTAAAGAACATTTTAAATATTATGTATATATGTGGTAACTATAAGATTAACTCTATTTTGGTCTGAACAAAGCTTGTAAAGTTGAACCGTTTAACCTTGTGCAAGAAGACATTTGGTTACTTTGAGTAACCAACACTTTTAGGATAGTTTGCCAAGTTGTGTAATTTATGAGTAGAAATCTCAAGTTGTACTGTATTGTATAAAATATTCTGTGTAAATGAGGCCATACAAAACTATATGTAACACATTTTGCACTTTGAGAAACCTTGTACATTACCATATATTTTTAGGTTTACATAGCGTCCGTCTTGGGGCAAAGAAAGGGAAGTAAGTTGAAAACAAGGGGGATTTATTTGAGTTGGCTGGCTAACCAAACAACACTGGGGCTTTCTGAAGAGGCAAGAAGTTAATAAACGTCCTAAAAACCAAGGAGGGGAGGTAATAAGTTATTCTAGCTCAGTATTGACAAGAACTTATTGATAGGAAATTCAGCTGTTAAGAATACAAGTCCAGTGTTGATTTCCTAAGGGTAATCTTCAGCCAGCCCTCGGAAACAAAGGCACTGGCCATTCTGGTTTGTAGGGTGAGTGAAAAAGCCACAGTATATGCTCACTACACTTGAGATCTTTGAGAAGTGGCTGCTAAGAAGAAACCTGCACTGCATTGGAAAGCGCCTGGCGCCAATGCCATTTGCACTGTTGATATACACAAACTTTTTTTTTTTTTTTACAGCTTATACTTTGGGTACGAACTAAATTCATCATTACAGGGTCTTTTTCTGTTGTTAATTTTCTGTTATTTTCAGTAAAGTTGGAATGCCTCTCTGTACAATGTCAGAATCAACTAGAATAGGACAATTTATGACCATTTCATCTTGGGGAGGCTTGCTCTATTGATTTGAGGGGTGTGGAGTTCTGGTTCACATTTGCAGTCTCTGGTCTCTGGGTGGTGCAAACGGCACATGTGGTTGGCTGCTAATCAAAAGATTGGTATTCAATGCCATTCAGAGGCACCGTGGAAAATTACTTGGTCATCTATTAAAAAAATAAATAAATAGAAATCATGCATTGAAAATCCTATACAGCACAGTTGTACTGTGACAGCCATAGGGTCACCATAATCCAGAATTCATTTAAAGGCATCTGGTGATGGTCGCTCACATACAATGTATTCCTTTAAGAAACAAAAGCAGTTCGTCTCTGCACGCTACCTAACTTCGGTTCTTGGTTTCTCTAAAGTTGATTCCATTTCACAGTGACTAATAGTCAGTCCTGCACTTAACGTTCTGTATCATCAAAAGAATTCAGGTTAATAACCAAAACCCCTATTTTACTCTTCCTCCCAAATTAGTTTTTTCTTTCATATACAAATCAAATCAGTGAAGGTTGTTTTGTTTTGTTTTGTTTTCCCTGAAACAGGCAGTATTAATTCTAGCTTATATTAGGGGAAGTACTTTTCTTCACTCAAATTTCCTCAACTTAGATGAGTTTCGATAACACTTTTGAAAGATAACCTTTATTCCTCCCTTTTTTTTCCCCTTCTAGCACGTATTAGGATTTGTCTCTAAACAAAAGATACGCTGGATTCTTCAGTCTACTTAAGAATAGTACAGTAATAAGCTATGAAGTCTTCTAGTATAGAATAATTATATTTGATGGCAAAAAAAGAGAGTTTATCATGACTGGTGATTTTTGAAGTCTAAATTTATAATAAAAATAAACTGCAGGTCAGTTTATGAAATAAGTGACATTCTTGGCACTACTGGGGGGATCTTCCTTTAAAGCAGGAATCATAGTATTTAGAAAGAAAAGCTAATCAAAATATAATTTCTAAGTAATATTTATATTTTTTATTAAAAAAGGGTGTGTGTGAGAATAATGTTTGACTTTGTTGGCCTATTTGTGGGGAAGTCCCTAGAGTTTTTAACCCGCCTCGTCTAATTTTTTCCTGCTTCCTAAATTTAAAGATCTTAATAGCTTGTGGATCCTTGCCTCTCCTCTTCTGAAATGTAAGATAAGGGCTAATGATACCATATATATTTTGAGTAAAAATTAAAATTGTTTTACAAGTTAACTTCAGTATGACTGTTTTCTTGTTGATTTTTTAAGAAGTTAAAGATTGTTTTGAAATAATTCAAGTAGTATCTAAATTTGAATTAGCCTTCAAACTTGATCTGATTTTATTTTCCTGAAGATAAATTACATCAATATAATGAAATGTGCAGAGATCTGGAGTCAGAAAATCAAAAGGGCCGAACTCGCTCAGCATTTCTTAAGCTGAAGGAGCTAAAAAACAAATTCAAGCCATGGGTGGCAATACTTAAGGATACTTTGGGTAGAATGTTAAATGATCCAGAAAGTATCAAGAGAAGATGGAAGGAAAACACAGAGTCACTGTATCAGAAGGAATTGGCTGACACAGAAGAATTTAATGAAGTGACATATGAGAAGAGCCTATGGTGATGAAGGAGGAAGTTCAAATTGCTCTGAAGGAATTAGCAAGAAACAAGGCTCCAGGAGTTGACGGCATACCAATTGACATATTTCAACAGACAGACACTGCCCTGCATGTGCTCACTAAGTTGTGCCAAGAAATCTGGAGAACAGCCAGCTGGCCCACTGACTGGAAAAGATCAATATTTGTTCCCATTCCAAAGGAAGGTGACCCAACAGAGTACGGAAATTATCAAACAATATTAATACTACATGCAAGCAAGATTCTGCTGAAAATTATCCCAAAACACTTGGAACAATATGTCAACAGAGAACTGCCAGATGTGCAGGCTGGATTTAGAAGAGGTCGTAGTACTAGGGATATTATAGCTAATGTTAGATGGATCTTAGCAGAAAGCAAAGAATACCAGAAGAATGTCTATCTGTGCTTCATTGACTATGCAAAGGCTTTTGACTGTGTGGATCTCAAGCTGTTGCTAACTTAGAAGAATGGGAATCCCAGAACATTTGATTGTGCTAATGCGAAACCTCTACTTGGACCAAGAGGCAGTCAGAACAGAGCAAGGAGACACTACATGGTTCAAAATCAAGAAGGGGATCCGCCAGGGATGTATTCTGTCTCCATACCTTTTCAATCTGTATGCAAAACAGATCATCTGAGATTCTGGGCTGTACGAAGAGGAATGTGGCATCAGGATTGGTGGAAGGATCATCAAGAACCTGCATTATGCAAAAGACACAACCCTGCTTGCTGAAACTGAGGAGGACCTGAAGTGCTTACTGCAGAGGGTCAAGGACTGAAGCCTCCTATATGGACTGAAGCTCAACATCAAGAAAACAAAGACTCTCACCACTGGGCCAATTGGAAGCATCAGTATGGATGGTGAAGAGATTGAGATAATTAACAGTTTTAGTTTACTTGGCTCCACAATCAACACTCTTGGTAACAGCAGCCAGGAAATCAAGAGACAAATTGCACTGGGAAAGTCAGCTGTGAGTACTCTCTCAAGAGAGTACTGAAGAGCAACGACATCAGACTGGAGACTAAGGCGCCCCTGATCTGAGCTATAGTCTTCGCAATTACTTGCTATGCATCAGAGAGTTGGACATTGAATAGGATTGATAAAGAATTGATGCCTTTGAGCTGTGGTGCTGGAGACGTGTGTTGAATATACCATGGACTGCTAGGAGAACAAACAGGAGAAGGTGAAGCCAGAGTTCGGAGTCAAGGATGCTGAAGCTCTGTCTGACATACTTTGGGCGTGTTGCAAGGAGGAACTGGTCCTTGGAGAGGGCCACCATGTTTGGCAGAGTGGATTGGCAGTGAAGGAGAGGAAGACCTTCAGTGAGCTGATCGATTCTGTGACTGGAGCGGTGGGAATAAGTGCATTTGAGATGGCTAGGTTGGCACAGGATAGAACAGCGTTTAGAGCTCTTGTACATAGGGTTGCTATGAGTCGCAAGCGACTCGATGGCACATAACAACAACATGAATATTTAACGAATATATGCAGATGTGACATAGAACAGATTGATACCACTCCGGCTTTCATTTTAATAACCCCAAGTTCATATCATTGCTAGATATAGTTAAGTATTCTATTTCCAAACAAATTACCTGATGAGTCATCCAAGCAGCACTAACAATTTAGAATGAAGCAAAAAGTAATTGAAATGGAAATGTTTCTTGTATGGAACTGTATTAGCTGCTGATTTGCATTGTTCAGAAGACAATTTTTAATTTTAAAATGCACACAATATTGCAAAAGGTGACTTTTTAAAAACTTGCTAGATTTATTTGAACAGACTGTTAGCATATTTATTTTCTCAAACTTGGCTATTGCTTTGGGGAGAAAGTTATTACATTTTTTTACCATCCCGTCAAAATTTGCACTAAGACTTCCATGATCATTTGAACTTTTCCTCAGTATAAGACAGACAAAGTTGAGTTTGTTTCAGCAACTCCATGTGCAACAGAACAAAATCCTGTACGAATTTGTGGAATCCTAATAATACTGTGTTCACACAAATTGTTGTAGCATTGTGTCAGTCCATTATGTGAGGGGCAGCCTGTGTTTTGCTGCCCTTCTACCAGACGATGTCTTTCTCCAGGGACTGAACTTGATAATAAGCCAAAAGTTCATGAGATGAAATTACCTAATCCTTGCCTCTAAGGAGCATTCTGGCTGCCTTTCAAAAGCATATTTATGTGTTTCTTTGGCAGTCCATGGTATACCAAATATTCTTCACCATAATACTGTAGTCAGCAAAAGTGTAAAGTATGGAGCAGGACAAGCGTAGCATGACACCTGGATACTTTACACTTTTGCTGACTACAGTATAACCATATGCCTGGCCCATAGTATGTTGTTGTTATTAGGTACCATTGAGTCAAGTATGACCCTTAGAAACCCTATGAAGAATAGATCTGAACCATG